AAGGTCGTGGCTCGCGTGATTAGTTACACTACACCGAGATTTTCAACATTTTCCTTCCAATGAAGTGTTCATTTATCATAGGTAGCTGTAAATGCGAATGCCTCAAAATCGCATTAACGGCATTCTACAGTTGCAAAACGAAACACTCACAGCATGAACACTTCTAGTCAGGAGGTGGAATCCAATTCTTTTGCTTGCCATTAATCATAAAAGCGCCTTTTTGTGGGGGACGCTTGAGGGTAGTCAAAATGACCATGTCAGCGGCGTGTGCTTCGAGTTGGCTTTAAATTCGCCCATCAACTGTCACCATTGCCCCCCAAGTCAAAGGGTAACCTAAACAACAAATTTGTCTCAAATGATGAAAAAGAAAAGAAGGATAAATGTTTTATGCTGCAGTTGAATGCGGATTTACAATGGGACGGAGGTCGGGAAGGTGGGGGGGGGGGCGACAGGCGTAGAGACTGGAAAATTTGTTTGTCTAGCGAAGCGAATGTGGCATTAAATTGTTCTTCCGTCGTCTCGGCGCTTTTGCTACGTCACTTCGACCCACAACTCACCAAATTTTCTATGCTTTGCCTGTTGGACCAAAGTTAGTCGGGACAATACACAGAGAGTAGCGCTTTTTAGTTTTCTGGCGGAGAATGCAAGCTGGAAATTAAGTGCCAAAGCTCCCTGGTGGAAGGAGATTTCTGTACTTCCTTTTCCTTTTCTGTCCGGATTGCGTAACTGCGACGACATCACAGAAGAGGAGTCGATGCTAACAGCCATCTGCGTGTGTAGCAATCGCACTTTTCTTACTCGCAAATTCCATCCCTGACTACTACTTGGTGGTAAAAATAAGCTCTTATTCGGGCAAATTAGCTCAACTTTGCTGTGTTTTAGGCGGCGTCGGTGCATAGGCGTGTAGAAGGAAGGCGAAATTTGAGGCTAGCTAAAGCATATTATGCCTTAGAAAATAAAAAAACATTTAATGAGTTTCTGATCATCACTGCAAAGTGATGTTAAAGTTGGCGGCAAAGTCTCCAACTAAAACGAGGTGTCCGTGGAGTTAAACACACACCGAGAACCACCACTGCCACCTATTTAGCGGGATTCGGGAAATCCTACAGCTCCACAACCTTCTGCGAGGCCGTATAAGTCTAACACCAGACAGAGGAGACGAGAAGTGGACAGAAAGTAAGCAGAAGAGCAGAATGTGGACGTCGGTGTTTGCATAACGCAAGCACAACACATTAATGGCACTTTATTTATGCCTTTAAAGGGGGAATTTTGCCATTCGTCTGCACCGCATTTTACGAGAAGCCTCTGTGTCATGTCGTAGCTTGGCGGTGTTGAAAAAAATCGCACGCCATTTCCTCCCCTCCCTTCCCCCTTAAAAACTTGTGCCTTTGGCTCTAAATAAACATTGCAGTGCGAGTTGGTGTTGGCACAGTCGCTGCGCCAGTTACGCAGACAAGGAGGTGCACGAAGTTAAACTGAGGCTTTTTCTTCCTCAAATTCATGAAAGAAGGCCCAATAATTGAAGCTGAAGTGATTTTAGTGGTGACAAGATCCTTAAGAAAGCGATTCGGTTGAAAGAGCGTCCATCCAGAAGCGCTCAGTGGCAGCGGGTCCTGCCGACCCCCGCCTTGTCCTGTCCCCTAATCCGCCAGAGTTGGAAAATTTCGACATTTCTTCGAGTTTAACGCGGAATGAGGAATTCCAGAGTGGAAGAGTTTTCGGAAAACAGTCAAACGATATAACAAAAGTGGGTAGCACAGGGGATCCTTCAATTTCCCTCATAAAACACAAATTAATTTAAACAAGTTTTTTCTTATATTAATTAGAAAAAGCCTATGTCTTTAGGCTTTGCATAATACTTTTGAAATTAAAAAAAGTAAAAGTAAAGAGTATAAAAGTTGGCAGTAAACATGAGTGCAAGCTTAGACTTTCAACTGTGTCATTCCTGCAGAGGCGGTGTTGTTGGATGCCTCATGTTGTGACCTCTTCAAGCAAGGCAAAGACCAACTTGTTGGCGTTTTTCATTTAAAGGCTTAATTTAATACATTTTTGTTGTGTTTAATGAAAGGATTTAGCCAAAAGAATTGCTAAGGAAAGCAATTTAATAAGTTCTAGGAGAGACACTATTTTGAGGTTCGCATTTTATGGATTCATAAATTTTTCGTCCTTTCTCTCCCTCTCTCTCTCCCTTTTCCTTTTCTATGGAGTTGTGTACGAGCAAAGGAAGCATGTAATGTTTATTTTATCCTAGTAACAGTTGCTATCAAGAGAGTGCATTGTGTCCTTTAAAATGTTGCGTAAATTGTAGACAATGTTGCTGTGGTTGTGATTGTTGGTGGCATTCAAGCCTTCTGGTACAAAAGTAGCCAAAATATCAAACTCTTTTTATCACGCATTTCATCACTTCAGCTTGTAGTTCACCACTAAAAGACAGTGAAGAAGGGGAGAGAAAAACGGTGCTTTGAATTAAAACATCAAATGCAAGTAAGTGTGGAAGGCGATTTTGGTTCTTGGAAAGGTGTAAAGGACGGCGACAGAGGCTGACCTCTCCCACCACACTCACGGCTTTGAGGAGGCGTGACGTATCATGGCAACTTACAGGCCGCCGACGTCTCATCACTTTGATGACCATCAATAATTTTGGTTTTGGAATAAAAAAAACCGTAATCGCAAGCAAATTTTACTTTTCTTTGCCAAGAATTTACCACTTTTTTGGAACAAGCTAAAATCAGCCGAACTGTAAACTATTGTTATCATTATTAATTCTTTCTTCCCACTTTTTGCAGTAACGACTGAAAACATCCATTAGTTAAACTTATTCTCGTTTGATGTTAGCCCATTTTCTATCCCTCTCCATAGTTGCTCACTTTGCACATCAAAGTCCCAAATTCCCACATTTTAATACAACACGCAGAACTATATAGATTTACAAAATTATTTCTAGCTCTCATTTGCACCGTAAATTAGCACTATTTGGATGTGATTTTCTTCTTAAAACCTCCAAGTGGTTAAGCTTGCTATGTTTTAAGGGAAAATTTCTCTTATAGCTTCAGTTTGGCGTTACGCGTCTCCAACCCCTCGAAGTCGAAATTCTGGTCGTGTGAGGATGCAAACAATTACCCACTTAAACAATGTAATAATTATGTACGTAAGCAAATCCAAGAAAATCCTTAAAAGCAAATCACCATTAAAAAGTCTTGAGCGAGTCCAGTTAAGGGTCAAAAACATTAGGTTTTTTACTTTTCAGCGCTTAAAGGAACGTGTTTTTTGAAAGCAATTTTGTTGACTTTAGTAAATCATTCTGACTAAAGCGAATTTGTTTAATTCTTACTAAATTTTTATTTGATTATTTTGGCAGACAAATGGATGAGTTAATTTTCCAAAGTGCTAAGGCGTTTGGACGTGACAGAAGAGAAAAAAATTAATTGCGTTGCGAATGGTTCACACTCAAACACACAAACATACATCCGAAGCCGGTGCCTTTTGGACACAATTTGGGGAGCTTAAACGTCACAATATTTTGATTTCGATTCAAAAAGCATTTTCTTCTCGAACAATGCCCTCAGAGAACAAAGAGACCGTCTAGTGTTATTAATTTGTTGCTACTCCTTTTCGCATAGTTCCTAAAATACTCAAAAATGAATCCTTCTAAACCGCAAATAGTCGAGGCTTAAAGGAAGATTAATTGTATCTAAATTCCTTAATTTTTCCCGCGACTTGAGTTCCTAGGCTTTATCCGAAGATTTTATGCATCACTTTACCTATACAAGTGCTGGCTCTGTTGCAATTACCTAAGTGGCCAAATCACTTCGACCGGTTGGGATGTCAGCCAGGCCATGCGAAAATCCTCGTCTTCTTCCGTTTTGCCCTAATGTACGCAATCAGCACGAGTACTCTTCCTTCTCGAACTGTAAGGAAGTCACGGAATGTGGAATCAAATTTCCTAAGCAATGCTCACCAAGGCTCTAACCAACTCACCGATCGTTCAATATAGTACTGTCTCAAAAAGGTGCCTTTCTGCCATCAATGGGACCACTACGTTTTGCCCAAGTTTTGTTCGTGCCTTAATTGATAGGAATTTCCGTCTCTGAATAGCAACTCGAGTATTTTTTCACAGGTCGCACGTCCATCTTGTCTCATGGTCGGTGGCCTGCGCAAGCAGCTCCTTAGTGCTTAAAATGTATGCCATTTTCTAGACCAATTCAACTTTATTATGACAAGCGAGGTCGTGTAGCTACGCATTTAGCTTTCACACCTAGCACAGTCTTTTCGGTTCATTCTTTCAAGGAATTTGGATTCGACTTGGATTAAACACTCCATCCCATTTGTTATTACTACTTTTGGAATTTATTGTCTGTTTGAACTAGGCCAATATTACCTCAAGTCAATTTTTATCCCTAACAGCATAAAGTGACAGACTTTAAATTTAAAGCTATTTATTGTGTTGTACTTTAGTTATCTCCTATCAAACTAGGTGCCAAAGCTTGAAAACAAACTAATTTTCGGCATTTTTCTACGAAAATGGGGAAAAAGTTTGCCAAAAGTAGCTGCATTCGCATGGAGTTTGCACGCAAACCAGTTTAGCACTGCTCCATCACATCAACGCTGTCAACTAGTCCAAAACACCGACTCGTCGGCTGTTTATGTTGGCCATGCTGCTGTAATCATAGTTACCATGATCGCTGATAGTAGTTTGGTGTCAGGGCCGCTAGTGGCGAGAGAGAGGGAGAGGAAGACAGTGTACAACTACTGAACGTCCATCCAACTCTGTGCATCTGTGTGTGCGTGTATGTTTTTAACGGACTTGTGTGATTGGTCAACTGTTTCTGGGAAAAGGATGCCTCCTCCACCAATTACCAGCGTCCAACTATGCACGCGTAGGTCTACGCTGAGGCTGCTGTGTGTGTGTGTGTGCATGCATTCAACTTGTCGACCAGAGAGTAACTTACTTCCAAAATCCTCAAAACCATCATCATGCCCCAACCCCCAACTGATCGATAATGGCAAGTCAATTAAATGACCCCTCTGTAACCTTTAAAGCCTGGGGCTGGAGTGAGAATTGCACTCTGCTGTTGGATCTACTCATCAATCGATCCATCTCCGAGGAGGTGTTTCTCAGTGCATGCAAACCCCATGCGGAGATAGGCGTTAAAAGCATCCTCCTCATAATTGTCCTCAGCCTCCTACTCCTTGGAACAGCGGGAGGAAATATGCTAGTCATCATAGCCATTCTAATTGTGAAAAAACTGCGTTCTCCCACAAACCTCCTCATTGTAAATCTCGCGGTAACTGACTTCCTTGTCAGTATTCTTGTTCTCCCTTTTGCAATTGCTTATCAAATTCTCGGTCATTGGCCATTCAATCAAGTGATCTGCGATCTCTACTCCATCTCCGATGTTTTACTTTGCACGCTGTCAATTCTCAGTCTTTGTACAATCTCAATCGACCGATACTTGGCCATTACAAAGCCCCTCCAGTACGCAGCTAAACGAACACCTAAGCGAATGCTAATTATGATTCTCATCTGCTGGCTCCTCTCTGCTGCAATCAGTATTCCGCCTGTATACGGTTGGGAACAAAAAAACAGCCCCTTCTACTGCGGCTACAGTGAAGAGCTGACCTACCAGATCTATGCAACAATGACAGCTTTCTACATTCCTTTGACAGTAATGCTGGTCCTTTATGGGAAAATATTAGTTTTGGCCAAACAGATGGCCTTGGTGGATGCACAGGTAGGACGCAAGAGCAGTGTCGACATACAGAACCGAGCGTCCTCCATTCCAGAGTACGTGGAATGGAACCGAAGTTCACTTTGTGTAGCTGGTGAGGGCTATCGAACTTCAGCACTTTATCCTGAAGTAAAAGAGGAGTACAAAGAAGGCAGAGATGTATCAAAGCCACGTCAAAGTGTAGTTAGCTTTAAACCCTCCCCAGTAGTGATGCGAAAGGACAGACGACCGACAAAAGGAAGGAAAGTCAATAGTTTACTTGTGTTTTCAAAGCGTTCGCAATCAGAGGTTATGAATAATGGCCGATCCTCAGAGGTGAGCGAAAGCAGTGGAAGAAGTGCATGCGGGTATGCCAAGTCCCCCCTATCTATGCTTCGACGTCACAGAAGGCGTAATCCCTCGGACTTGGGAAAGGGAGAAACACACAAGGCTGTCACCACGCTTGGAGTTATTATGGGATGCTTTACCATATGCTGGTTACCATTTTTTGTTTCTCAGGTAAGCTAGTTTACCTAAAAACAGTAAAAGGTTTCTACCATTTAATGTTTCCATTTCAGTGCCTAGTTGGTAATTGCCTAATGGTTGTCGTTGTTACTTGTTTATCTGTCAACTTGCACATTGCTTGATTACTTGCTGATCAAGCGTCTAGAGATGCATTCCTTTTCTAGCAAAGGACAATTATAGAAAGGAAAAAATAATATAACAAGTAAAAGCTTCTTCTTTGACCAGTTGCCTAATAAACTGCTCTCATTCAAGCAAATAGGTATGCATTTCGCACAAATTTGTAAACCTGATAGTGTGCCTCTCACCTACCATAAACATATGACACAATTCAGGCCATAAATAACTCTAAATAAAGTCTACTATTTTAAAGCTATTATGCGTCAAAGAGCTGAGAGCAGGTAGGGACATGCGATCAAACCTCGCTTGTCAAAAGCATTTGTTTATGAACTGCAGTAAATAGAGAACAGTGACTTGATTGTCGTAGCAAGGCGGCTAATCAAGCTTTGTACATAAAAAATGACCAAAAAACCTAACGCTTAATGCAAAATCTTCAGATGATAGGCTTAGTGACAATATTGGCAACAATATTTTATGCATGCTAAAACAGTTTCATAAAATCAGACGAAACGTAACGTAACTTGTAGATGATTTGACGAATTAAAACAAATTGATCTTATATTTTACTAATAAATATAATAATGAAGTAGGTCAAGTTGTTAAGTTTTACAATTGCTGGTTTTAAAGGCTCTTCACAGACAAACGAAAATGCGATCCTCTCAGGCTTAAATTAATTGAGTGGGGAACAAAAACACCATGTGGGACCAATTAATCCAGAGAGACTTGTACACAAATACTATACTCCATTGTTTTTGAAAACATCAATAAATGCAGTTGTTTATCTTTGTAAGGGAAGAGCTATTCTTTGGTGAGGCTACATAATTGTGTTTAAATTCCATTCGTCATCTCACCCAGACAATGTAATTCATCTGACTATGGTTAATTGCACATCCAATCACTTCATTTTCATTGTCCAAAGCCGCATAAAATTTGTAATTTACTTAATGCAAACGTAGTGATGACAAGATTTGCAGCGATTAAATTACGTGCGTTGCATATACGTTCGGATAGCGGATTTGTAGTCCCGTCAAACTGCATGGTAATTTAGTTAATGTGGGTCTTACAATTCTTGTTAAGTCAAACTTCGTTCTCCTGATATTGTATGCCTGGCACAGTTATTAGAGGCTTTAAGTTGGCTCAACGTCCTTTTAAAGGGATTTTTCGGAGGTCTCTTTTTATGCGCAAGTAATGTATTTTGCAAGGACTTGCACCGTGCGCATATAAAAGCTACCTTTCTTGCCCGATTGAGGGGAAATTAATTTTGATGTATAATGGGCACTACTTATCGCCAATTAAACCCAATTTTCACCCTTGAGATTGAGCATAGCACGTTATCCATTTCATTACACTGGAAACCTTTTGGATTTGCTTTGATATGCTGGGAATATGTCCAATGCAGGCGTTTCGCGCCCTTTCGCTTGTATGATATCCAGATGGGATTGGACTA